TTGGTACAAATCAATCTATTGCAATTAACTTTTTGAAAGTAGAATGTAAAGATTCACCATAAATTTGCTACCGCACAAAAGTTTAGGAGTACGGAATCTCATTTCATGCACTAAATTTGCATTATAAAATTCCTCAGAAGAATAAGTTTTGTAATTTGATGATGAAAAAATAAACAAATTCCATTCGTTGGAAGGATGAAATGCATTTACCACATGTTCAAAACAGTCGGATGCATTAGTCATTAATAAGTTCCGCAAGTCAATTATATATAACTTGACGTATGTTATATATTTATAGAATATTATTGATCTTAGCTCTTGCGCTTTTTTCGTTATGTTGAGTGTATACAAGTGACAATACGTTTATTTTTACAGCTGAAATTGTCATATATAAGTTATATAAATCAGTTTTGACAAACTGTGTTGGGTGGGATTCAAATATTTGATGTAAAATATAACAAAGAAGGAGGGGGAGGGGGTGTTTGTTAAATGTTACTAAGTCTTATTATGAAAATTGGGAGGAAGTCTGGAAATCCCAAAAAAGTGTTTACGTAATTATTTCATGACTTCTTTGCAACGTAATAAATTTGAGTGGTAGTGTTTGGAAAATAATTTTTTCAATCTCATTAATTAAGCTCTCTTGAGAGAACAAACTGACATGAGAATCTACTAACCATAACTAACGCTTGAGATTCTCAATCACTCACACTCACAATGTTAAAAATTAATTCCTAGGTAAAACTCTTAAAAACCACTCAAATGACAAATGATAACATGTACAATACATGAATGTGTTGGTAGTTTTCCAACGAATAATATCAGAATAAAATACAGAAGAATACAGTTCGCTGTTTGGTAATTTTTGGACTACGGAAATAATCGGTTAAGTTATTCCCGGCATGTACAGACTTTGTTCAATTAACACCATTTAAATATTTTTTTTCGTTTTTATTGTTTTCTTACGTTTAAATTACCGATTTAACCGACTTTCAGCTGTTCATTTTTTAGCCTATCTAAGGTCTTAGTGCTAGATAAAGTATTTGTTTTAATGTTTTGCGATATATTGCAAAACAAAGTACCCAGCAGTCAAGGTGATACAATTCAGCGTCCACACATCATGGGCTGAGTGGTTGACTTGCACAGCCACTTCAAATTTTCTAGGGAGTAAATCCCACACAGTATTTCAATATCAGACATGAAATTTACTTCTCCATTGCAAACATGGGGAATCAGTTTTGTTATTGTATGCTTTCCGGTAACTGATTAAAAAATCGAAGTGGCTTTAGAGCAAGGGATTTCACATCGTGTCACCTTACGAGTAGGACTTCAAAAATGAAGGAAGTAGGAAGAGTTGTGTCCTTTAATAAAAAACAACTAGTAACCTCCTACAAAAACCATTGAACATTCATAGTGAAAGCTATCGTTCGATGTCACAGCGACTTCTGCACATGGCTGTCTTAACAGGCTAAAACCAGGACTTCCATGTATTGTCTGAGAGCATTCCTGTATGACTTCTAAAGTGTTGGTATAAGTTAATGGGTCAAAGGTATTAAAAGTTGTTTGTTGATTCAACTCCATATATTTCACATATATGTCAGGTATTATTCAGTTCAGCCATGTATAACAATTTATCAGATTCATTTTAATTTTCTCTCAAATGGCAAGCAACCGAGTTGATGCACATATGTTTATCAAAGTTGATATATCATCCTATGGAGGTTGAACAAAATATTGTATAGCTAATATTTCAAATTGCTATAATGGATTGCAGGCAAGGATTATAAAAAAATATAAGAATTAGGGCTGTCCAAATATCACTTGAATGGTGAACTCTGTGTGAACATTCGTCGAGTATATCTATTTAATTTATGCGGTGCTCGAACGAGAGAACACATTTTACCATGCATGAACATAATTGCAGAATTTCACAGGCATATCACATAAATGCTAAATTATTAAATTGGGAAAAGAAAGTTTATATCCATAAGATCCTTGTCTTGACCATAAATCGAACCCGCTGAAGTGGGCCTGGCGTAGTGTTTAGCAAATATGTCTCTCACGTTAAAGGTTTTCTCATGTCTTTATTACTTCCCCACTGGGACTTTACGCTGGCTTTCAACTTAGTTAAATTTGAGCAGATATTTGTTGTTAATAGGTTATGTTATCTAAATTAACAAGACTTTCAACCAAAGGGACAGTGGTTTTTTTTAACTCTTTATTTGTTCCAAATTACATTTCATTTTAACCTATGTGCTCCAGTTACTACAGTTACTTACCAGCCTTAATTGATATGATATATATCTAAGTGTTTTTACATTGTTCCTGCCTTGGCAATTCAGTATTTTTAAAGGTACAGTCGATAATTGAGAACTTTCCAATCCTGTACCATTTTTACCATTTTTCCAATCCGAAAAATTCCGGACCGGGAATCAAGCCCAGCCGCCTCCAGCATGGTCTTGCTTTATAGCTGCGCATTTACCGACTAAGTAACTAAAAAAATTGGTGGTTTGACGTATTCAGCTTATCTGGGGTACACTATAGACCATTTCTTAATTGTGCTCGAATAAATGACGAATGTTGCTTTAGTAAACCAAATTTCTACCGATTTATAGTAAGCTACACACAAAACAAATGGCATGAATGTCAAATGTAAGCGTGGATTTCTTACATCCTCTATAAGGTACACCGGGTTAAGTTGTATAAATAGTTAGTTCAAGCTCTACATTGATTTTAACCATATACAGTGCCTTTCCGTTCTCTTCAATAAAGTTTAAAAAAGTGCCTTCCCCTTTTTGGACCACATGTTTTTTTTTAGATTCTTTTTCTATTCAATAAAATTCATAGAAGACTGAATTCAGTTAATGCTTTGAATGTATGCTCTTTTGGGTCTGAGATGGCTGGTAATGTTTCAAGAATAATGAAGCAAACATTGTTTCAAAACTGGGAAAACAAATCACAAACCAGAAGGCACATGTTGCAAATTTTCATAATATGGTAAAAATAGTTATAAATAAATCGTTATGAACATACTATTTATGTTTTCAAAACTGCACATTATGGCGTCATGATGATTCTAATATGTTTGTATTTAATATCTGATACACATTGTAAGATGAGCCAAATTTTAATGGTTGGACAAATGTTTACTAGTGTCCATTGGAACTAAAAAAATCTCTGGGTTTTAAGTGAATCAAAATTTCTTAAGCATTGGCAATTGTTTTTAATCTTCTCTTGAACAGCCACTCCTCCTATCGTCTGCACAGTTTGTTTCATAAAATAAAGTTTGGCGTTTTTCTCTTTTCAACACATACTACTTCAAGCGTACCATACTCAATATTACATGTATGATATGCATTCACCTAAAGAGAGAGATGGGCTCTCTTGCTTATTGTTTTCTTGCTATGAAAAGGTTATACACAACTTACTTACCAAAACTTCTAGTTATTTAAATATCCTACAACTAAAAACGAATGCATGGTGCTTTTTTAGAATACATTAAAACACATAATATAATATTCTTTTACATTTCCAAAAACTTCACCATTCGAAAAAGGAGACTATTCCCGTCATTGTATGTCTAGTAATGAAATGTTTCATAGGGGATCTTTTCAAACAAAATATGAATGAATTTAAGCGCTTATTTGAATAGGAAATTTATTTTCAGTATATTGGTATGGCCCAAATCAAGAAAAAAATCACGTTAACGGGTAAATCCCCTCTTCCAAGTGGTGAACGTTTCGGGAATAGTGATTTTATTGTTTTAATTTTATTCTTACAAATACACTGTGAGACGTTTACATTCACCTACGGTGAAGTTTTATATATTTTATTTATCCTATGAACTCAATATGACCAGACCACGTTATTTGATGCTATGATATTTTGTATGTTAAACATCACAAGCTGGTATTTTGTATTATGAAATTTAGCCTGGGTGTATCCAATGTGACTGAATTTTTAAAAACTCTTATGATGTGATATTCCAGTGAACAAAACTAAGGGTGAACATTATAGTGAGTCAACTTGACGACCAACTGCTCGCCAGTGCTCTGCCGCTTTGTATGGAGGTTCCACCAATTATTTGGATTTTTGGTAGAAACTCAAAGGTTGTATCGGTAAATGTAATGGAAATGGATAGAAAATATTAATTTGCATCCCAAAAAATATTCATGTATTGCTCAAAATTGACCATACTTGAGTAAATGATCGGACAAAATATGCAAAACAGCTATGTCGAAGACTGCAATTAAATTCGCCATTTGTTCAAAAAGGGAAAGACTATATTTTCTTTCCACTTTGCTTCAGATATCATATCGATTATAAATGACGTTTGGTACTATGATTTCTTGAAAAATGAATGATTGATCATGTCAAACAATTTTGCATCAATTTAGAGTTGTTTTACAGTTGTTACGAGGACGATACAATTAATTTGGCATGAAAAGGTTAAATTTACATAAACTCTGAATTTTATAGAAATATAACAGGCAATGTGTGCTTGTACTATACTTAAAATTTGACATGATCACATTATTTTATTAAAAAAATGTATAAAACGTGTCACTCTATTTCATCAAAATATTACACCTTCATTCAGGAATTATTTCATTAATAAATCGCAATTTATGCACGTACAAATGATACTACTATAATTGCAATACTATTTACGCTTACATATAGGTAATTTTTACTGGCATCACTTCAATTATATGAGAGAGACCATGTTAACGAGTGTGAAATATACAGTCATTCTCTTTCTTTCCTCTATGATATGCTGTGAGAAAGAAGGATGGCGTAGCATGAAAGGCGGAGCCTAAGTCAAGAAACGAATGCCTCTCAAACCGTCCTCTATTACTATCTTTATAAACACTTTCCTCTCACGCTCAAGTGTATGAGGAAGAGAGAAGATTAAGTATAAATCATTTTTCTTAGGAAAGACAAAATCAACACAATTCTTGTTTACCGTATTTCATCAACTGCATAACAAAAGAGTTCGTCGATCGGTGTAGACGTGTGCGCGAAATCTGTCTGTATCTAAAGCTTTTAAAGCTGACTGCCTACGGTAAACTGCAAATATAATATGCATATCGGTGAAAAATGAATCAGAATGATATAGCAAATTAGTGAAATAATTATAGTATTGAAGTGTTATGAATACAATAATATAACGAAAAATGAGAGAAGTGATGAATGCATGAAGAGAAGATATTCGATATTGAAGTGTTAATAGTGCCGGTGAAATATTTGAAGCTTGAATTGATGAGAATCGTAAAATGAGTTCATTCCTGATGGGATATCCACACCACTTTCAATCAATGGGAATTAATATTGAGCCTAAGTTTCCGGCTAGTGACGACTACGGTTTTCATAATGGATATAATAACGTTAGCGGGATCACACAAAACGGAAATGAATACTTACACCATCCACCAAGTGAAATAGTGCCCCATAACAATGGTGGCAACAATGGAAATAACTACAATACTTATGGTATGAGTGGACATTATTACCACCATCACCATCATCACCATCATCATAATGGATACGCTTCTCCTGTACAAATGCATCAAACAGCCTCAATACCTACGCCTGCAGTTGTGCAACCTTCAACACCAACAAGCAGTTCAACACCAAATGAAAATAATGGATACGTGTCAAGTACATATTATCCTTCATACTATAACAGTAGTGGACATCAGCCCTTGATGGATGTACCTCTACAATGTCCTGGAAGTGAAATTAGCAATACTGCATTAGGTTTACAAGAATTAGGTAACGTATTAAACCTTCGAGTGAACGTTAATGTTTGGTTCTCCCCTAAGATTTCCAAGGTGGTAGGATAACATTATTATAAAAAAATCAGTGACGCTGAAACACCCACCAAACGAATCCTAAGGTGCCGCTCTTTTGTTTGACCCTAGTATCAAAATTTTCTGTCAGAGGTCATTTTTCCAAACATTTTTTGGGGCTTCAATGGTCGAGAGAGTTTTGTTTTGGACGCAATTTACACTGAAAATACGAAAAAAAAAAAATGGTCTAGACCATCCGATAGAACATTTCCATACTAATCTCACATGAAAAGGGTGACCCTAACCCAACACAGTTCGAAAAAGTAGTGTAAATTTCTGTTCAATGTGATGCACATAAATGGAGCGCCATATATCATATAAATTTACATTATAAATCGTGTAAAGTTCAGAGACATTTCTTGAAATGTTGCACATATTGTATACTAAAACCCATATTTGTAAACAACAATCCTTTCCATTTGCTCGTTTGCGTTTAATGAAACACAAGTTTACGTGGATGAATGTTTACATCACAATTAAAATTCAGAATTGTTTGCAGTGTGGTCACATTGATCAGCGGGGAGTATTTGATTACTGAGGATTATCATTGTTTTTGTTCTGATATGATACTTTTTATGTCAAATGGCATAGGATGCATTTTTACATCACGGATCAACCACAATCAACTTATTTACCATGTTTTACGGGCCCAATCTTAGATCCATAGGCCAACATTTCCCCTATACATGTATGCATTGAAAACTGAAAATTTATCTGATGCCCGGAATGTTTAGTTCTGACTACTTAGATTGAACGTTAAGAAACATTAGTTGTTAATTGATTTCGAAGTCGATAACTCAATGATTAATCGACTGCTTTTCAGGAAACACTGGATCTCAACATACACCGTCTAAAACATGAATGCAATTTTCAGCAATAAAGTGCACACGTAGGAAACGCATGATTTGACATAAATTTACATGATATTTCATGTAATCTCAAGCAGTGTGTTACTTAAATTTGTAGTGTAGCATAAAAGCTTCTAATAAATTTCGTTGTTTATGCGGGCTATAGCCCAAAATTAAACGAGGAGGGATTGTACGCGATGGTTAAAATTCAGAATTTTGTTTATGTAGTAGCCTAGGTTTATGTGTCCTATTCATCATATCACATACACCAATGTTTCATACATAGTCATTTGAGTTATCATGTCCACAGATCAAAAACCTTTTTATTAATAATAACCAGACGTTCAATCAAAATGTGTGATGTTGAGCAAAGTTGAAGCTGAGAGAATCTCCTGTTAGTTCCTACGCTAGGGGAACCCCAATCGTTTCATGTTACCCTACTTTACACTAACTATAAAAGTATATCAGTTCAATCTGGAGTTATGGTAAAACATGAGTTATCAATTGGAATCGATTGCAAACTTATAGAATTTCACAATGAGTTCTCAAAGTTACAAGTTGTTTACATAAAAATTCGTTATGTTATCCCTAACTAGCCCTAATTTACCAATTCCACACATTACTATCGGCTTGCATTTTCCAGATGAGACTTATATGCTTTTATGGACAGAAACCCAAGCAACACACTTCCATCATAATAAGGTGCTGCAGCTTGATTGTGACTGAAATAAGTTACATGCAAGCTACCAAAACTACTCAGTGACAAGTGTGCTGCTAGGGAAGCTTACCCATAGAACAATCTGACGGAACGCTTGGATAAACATTTACATATGAAGTAAAAATTATATTTTGAGGTGAAAATTTATAACTTTTGTACAAATTTGATATGCATAGAACACGAGAATAGGGGATCTGCACGAAGCTTTTATATATGGCAGTGGAGCAAAATCTCAAGTAAGGCACGCCTGATCACCTGTTTTATATTTGTTTTTAAATATCTGTGGAAAAATGCTACTAGTAGATTAAAAATAACCTACCGTTTCAACTTTCCCACCAGTTTCAACTTGCCCCGGTGTAGCTTAGTTTAAATAAATACAGTCGAAAATCACATGGTTAGGCCACCACCTTGGCCCAACTATCGAATTTGGTTCGTTGGTTGGGTCAACTGATAGATGGCTATAATTTGTTGGAGGGTAAGCGCATTCAATAACTATTTCGGAGTGAAGTATGTTGCTTGAAGCTGAGTGGAGAAAGTAAAATATTGATGTGCTTAATATTTGTTTTTGTTTTATTCTAGAATTTCAAATGAAACTTCTACTTATTCAATGCTGTGAGCTGTGGAAATTGTATGCATTTAACTGAATATTACATTAAAGTGTTCAAAGTAGCCCATAAAATCCCTTCCCCTTGGCTAGTTTTTGCACCTTGCTGTTGGTGGGCGGGCTTAATTTCATGCTTTATAGTGGAGTGTTGGAGACGGTAGGTTTATGGCCAGCGTTGCTGTCTCATGCCACGATAGAATGGCGTCATGGGCAGGCAATGGGGATTACTAAGCTTCCCCTCTCTGATGAACCACTTCATGAGAGAACCAAAGATCTAGTCTAGCAGTGATAGTATCACACTTGTTACTCCTTTGATTGAGAGCCGCGTCGTAGTACACTTACGTATAGGCACTGACGTTGGGTGCGATACTGGTGGGTTTTGCCGCAAATCACTATTATTTTATTTATTTTTACGCAGATTTATTTGGGTTTGCAAGGGAATTATACTATTGAAATATTTCAGAAAGTGCCCATCTGTGCTCCTTCTATTTGCGTGACAAGCTTTCATTGTTGTTTTCATTGAAGTATTACTTTTTTTTTATTTTTATTTTTCCTTTATTTACAACGCTTTCAGCCATTGGCTGGTTCGCCTTGGATATGAAGTATTACTCAGGAAGCAATGTTAAACATCATTTTTGTACATGGTATTGTAACTTATCTTATATGTGCTTCATTTTGATTTGGGATAAGTGTTTGAACTATGGCTCGGGATTTCCACTGTGGCGTGCTTCTATTGTGACATACCCATACGTATTTTTGTTGTGCGACACAGTGGAAGCTTGTGAGCATAGTTGGAGCATATACCCTATATTATTTAAAAATCAGCTAGGAAACTAACTTCGAAATGAAGAATTTTAGTCACATGAAGGTGTTACCTGGGTCGAACTAATATATAATAAATAGGTATAGGTCAAAATCAAATGTACTTGAAACACGTTTAATTTAAGATTACAAGCACAAGTGCAGGTATTTAATAAAGCATGGGTTATGATAGATTAGGTGAATTAGAGCTTTTAATAATTTAGTAAATTAGACTAATGAGATATCATAATCATCAAATGAACTTAAATAAGAAACTTCAGAAAGTGACATTAAGTAGATTAACAAAAGAATTAGGATGCGGGGAGTCCGCTTAGGGAGGCGACTAACCTTTAAAGTTGTAGAAAAACTTCTTATTTAGTCTTGAATTTTAATAAGAAAACGCAAGCAGACCAATAGCATTAAGCAGATTAACAAGGAGAGGAATAGTTTAGGAAATAAGTAAAAGTAGAGGTATGTGACAATTAATTACTTTTAAACTTTTGGAGGTATTGTATTCCCCTGAGTTTGTTGTACTCGATTACTATATTATTCTCTCAATACGCGAAATCTCTTATACATGCGGTTAAAGCATTTGAGTTAACCCTGTATATTCGTTAAAGGTTAGGTAATTCTGTAGTTGACTACAGTACAGAGAAGAACCGTTTTTGACGGACAAAGTTTTAGACGGTGTTCTTTTTGACGTAGAACTATGTCTTTGTCGACTATACTGGGGAACAAATAAAAAAATATGTGTGGTGAAATAGTGTTAGGTTTTGAACGCTTGTAACTTTGTTATTTATAGATGAAATTAAAATCCAAATACGCCAATCGATAGGATATTACTTAGCAAATCTGTTGAAGTAATTAATTTTCCAATTTTTAACCAAAAAACTTTTGAAACATGCGCAAATGATAATTTTATCACTGTTTTCATGAACTAAACGTTTTCTCCAAACCCAGTCATCATAAACGAATACTTATTGGTTGCATATCATTCTGCTTGAACCTGAAAAGATATAAAACAGCACTGCTTTCCTGCCTCTGCTCATTACCGCTTCGGACGGCGTGGCACTAGGTCAATCACAAGTCAGCGGCTATAGGTGGATCACGGCGTGACCACCACAATTAATGGAATGAATCTTGGAAAATTATGTAAGTAACCCCCCCCCCCCCAAAACAACAACCTCTCGCCCCCCCCCCCTAACAACAACCTCTACCCCCCTTAACAACATCCCGAAAAAGACATGGACTTTGACGATCACTTTTTTCGGGGATATAAATTTTAAGCAAACCACAATTAGGGACTGTTCATCGAAGATAGTTTTTTGGGATTCTTGACCCCCCCGCCCCCAAGTCAGCGGCTAAAGGTGGATCACGGCGTGCCCACCACAATGAGGGATGAGACTTGGAAAATTATGCATGTTAAACACCCCCCCCCCTAAGAGGGCCCCTAACAACAACCCTAAAAAGCCATGATCACTTTTTTGTGGGAAATAAATTTTAAGTTAAACCACAATTCAGGCGTAACATTTGAAAATGGCACAAGAGCTTTTGCAAAAAAAAAACTTTATAAGGCGCTTTGCACGAAGTACGCCCACGCAAACCAACAACATCGCCGGATAGGGGCAACTCTCACCTTTCCGAAAGTGGTATTTATTTGCGTGGACGTACTTTGGTTCACGTGTAAAGGGCCTTAAAAAGTTTGTTTACAAATGCTTTTGAGCCGTTATCAAATGTTATGCCTGAATTATTATTAAATACAAAAGTTTTCCTGTTAATTTCTTCCCGCATCAAAACTTTCAAATTTGAGAAAAATTGCTTGAAAGGCATATTCGATTATTTATGTTGGTGAATTACACACGACCGACTGTAAAACATATCTGGTACCTCTATATATTTTTTTTTCTCTATTTAGGAGATTTTCAGCCGCAGGCTGGTTCATCTCCGGAGGT